GCATAACTGGAGTCAGTTTTTCTATTCATTTCATCAAATCGTAAGATGTCATTGAACTCCAGCCGTACAGCTGAAACTCGTGCGCAGGCACCTACAAGGGAGTCAGGACGAATGAAATCCACATGAAATCTATACTCCATTCATTATAGCATTAGACAGAAGTTAAATAAGGTTCTTTTTATGGTATACTTTGTGACAAAATATCAATAATCATGTTACTTTTAAGACTGACGGCTAATTTGCTACATATCCATTTAAATACCAGCTGCTATACTTAACTGTTGTCATTTAAGCTATCTATTAAACAAATTTATGAGTATATGACTAATTTAAATAATTTAATAACTATTACAATAAAAAGTGTTCATCGTAAAGAACCTAAAGAAGCAGGGTTGGATAGTTTCGGCACGATTCTCATGTCACTATAACTCTACCAAATTTAAAACGTTGCCTAACCTGATCAAACGTCAGATTATTATTTATTCATAGTTGTTAAAATCGTGTGGCGACTGATACATAGCGACATCTAATTCATCGCGGTAACATCGCCACAACAATCGATAGCGAGAAGACTAGCATCGTCACAGCCATCGATAGCAAGACGAACTGCAATAAGTTTCAACAGCAAGTAACGAGATGGCGCTGTACCAATACAAGCAGCATAAATTAATAACTACAAGACATTTAGAACAAAGAAACCTACATCGCACAGAATAAGTTTCATTACCAATTAACATAAATAGAACGTCCAACCTACATCGATCGGACCGCGGTCCCCGGGCTAACAGCACCTAGCTCGGAGGGAGACGATTATCCTTTAGTCTCCCTGGCCAGTTGTCTCCATCACCACAGTAGGGACCAAACCTTACAACCTAATGGTTCTTAAAGTGGTGACCCCGACAGAACATCGGCAACCTCCAGCAGAACATCAGCAACCTTCAGCATCACAACGTAGCCATCACTCTTCATCAACAGCCTCTCATCATCAGCTTCTCATCCCTCATCAGCACAGCCACTTCAGCAGCAAGACAGCCAACACCAAGGTCTATCACAGCAGCATCGACGACGCTTCCTGGATTCTTGGTACCATACGACGGCATCACTCCGACCTGGTCCTCGCAGCCCACGACCGGACCTCAGTTCACACACAACTCACCGGCGTGGCAGTTCTGCACACCAGCAGCTTCGGTCCCGACGTCACTACCTGGCACTTGCAAGCTCTGAAGCACTGACTGCATACCACCTACTATCAACATGGATCGACCTTCGGTCTTGGGGGAAAGTACTGTGGCGACTGATACATAGCGACATCTAATTCATCGCAGTAACATCGCCACAACAATCGATAGCGAGAAGACTAGCATCGTCACAGCCATCGATAGCAAGACGAACTGCAATAAATTTCAACAGCAAGTAACGAGATGGCGCTGTACCAATACAAGCAGCATAAATTAATAACTACAAGACATTTAGAACAAAGAAACCTTCATCGCACAGAATAAGTTTCATTACCAATTAACATAAATAGAACGTCCACCTACATCGGTTGGAACGCGGTCCCCGGGCTAACAACACCTAGCTCGGAGGGAGACAATTATCCTTTAGTCTCCCTGACCAGTTGTCTCCATCACCACACTAGGGACCACACATACAACCTACGGTTCCTAAAGTACTGTGGCGACTGATACATAGCGACATCTAATTCATCGCGGTAACATCGCCACAACAATCGATAGCGAGAACAATCGCCACAACAATCGATAGTTCACACACAACTCTAGGGACCACACATACAACCTACGCTGCAATAAATTTCAACAGCAAGTAACGAGATGGCGCTGTACCAATACAAACAGCATAAATTCCACTTTAGGAACCGTAAGGTTGAATGTTGGTCCCTACTGTGGTGATGGAGACAACTGGCCAGGGAGACTAAAGGATAATTGTCTCCCTCCGAGCTAGGTGCTGTTAGCCCGGGGACCGCGGTCCGATCGATGTAGGTTGGACGTTCTATTTATGTTAATTGGTAATGAAACTTATTCTGTGCGATGTAGGTTTCTTTGTTCTAAATGTCTTGTAGTTATTAATTTATGCTGCTTGTATTGGTACAGCGCCATCTCGTTACTTGCTGTTGAAACTTATTGCAGTTCGTCTTGCTATCGATCGCTGTGACGATGCTAGTCTTCTCGCTATCGATTGTTGTGGCGATGTTACCGCGATGAATTAGATGTCGCTATGTATCAGTCGCCACAGTACTTTCCCCCTAGACCGAAGGTCGATCCATGTTGATAGTAGGTGGTATGCAGTCAGTGCTTCAGAGCTTGCAAGTGCCATGGTTGTGACGTCGGGACCGAAGCTGCTGGTGTGCAGGGCTGCCACGCCAGTGAGTTGTGTGTGAACTATCGATTGTTGTGGCGATTGTTCTCGCTATCGATTGTTGTGGCGATGTTACCGCGATGAATTAGATGTCGCTATGTATCAGTCGCCACAGTACTTTAGGAACCGTAGGTTGTATGTGTGGTCCCTAGTGTGGTGATGGAGACAACTGGTCAGGGAGACTAAAGGATAATTGTCTCCCTCCGAGCTAGGTGTTGTTAGCCCGGGGACCGCGTTCCAACCGATGTAGGTGGACGTTCTATTTATGTTAATTGGTAATGAAACTTATTCTGTGCGATGAAGGTTTCTTTGTTCTAAATGTCTTGTAGTTATTAATTTATGCTGCTTGTATTGGTACAGCGCCATCTCGTTACTTGCTGTTGAAATTTATTGCAGTTCGTCTTGCTATCGATGGCTGTGACGATGCTAGTCTTCTCGCTATCGATTGTTGTGGCGATGTTACTGCGATGAATTAGATGTCTCTATGTATCAGTCGCCACAATCGTAATCTGGGATTGTCATCCATTGTGAATACTACTGCCTTTTTTTGTTGTTTTGCCATTTTCCGTGATGTTATTGTTTTAATTTTGTTTTGTTTTTGTTGTTAAGTTTTGGTAAATATGGAGGATGCCGGTGCAGGCCCGAGTGGCCTACAAAAATTACGATCTACCCTCAAACTTTGACATTTCAGGGAGTTTTTCCAATGTCTTCATCAATAGTCTAACTAATTACACTTAGAATTAGAATTTATCAAAACACACAGATAGTTTCAGTTTTAGTTCCATGTTGGCTTGGGGCTAAAAGATGAATTTATAAAATGCTCGCCTCATCTCAACCCCGAGGTATCATAAAAAATGGAAAATTGCCCAGCTCTTTCAGACATGTTTCAGACTACCTAACGTTTAAAGTTTCAACAAAACTAATATATATTTTTTAAATTTATCTTGAAAGTAAAATGTTCTGCACTGCTGCAATTTCACGAAATCAAACTAGATGTCGCTACGGTACGTTATTGTTCTTTCCGGTTTTCTTTTATCTATATTAAGTAAATTAGTTTTCAAAACTCAATAAACAGCTCATGTTCTATTTATACTTTTTCGTATTTGTATTGATATCTAAATTTCGAACTTTTCACATTTCAGTTTTTTATTAAGTTAGTTTAAAGGAACGGAAATGAATGGATTTGGTCCATCTTGTTCCCCATATGTTTTGTAGGTCAGACCAGGTCAGACCGAGCTATTTGTAAGATATCCATAGAATAGGTCTGTAAATGAGAGGGATCACCTGTCATAATAGCCTCATTGGCCCAGGTATCCATGATTTAATTATTTCGTATGCCGCTGTGTCCAGGTATCCAAGCTAAAACAATTTCAATATTCTGGGAATGGCATTCAAAAAGCAGATTTTTAATTTTCAAAAGTATCGGAGACGGTGCTTTGCTTTTAAATAAATTACTTAAAAGAGCTTCTAAACTACTTTTTGAGTCGGTAAAGATGATTGTTTTATTCAACTTATGTGAAAGTACATAGGATACGGCTTCTAAGATAGCCACCGCTTCTCCAGAAAAGACAGAAGCTTTAATTGGACATTTAAAACTTAGCACAATTTTATATTTTGGGATCCATACTGCTGCACCTACATTACCATCCGAGCAGGTTTTAGAAGCATCAGTGAAAATTGGCAGCCAGTTAATCCAATCTTTATTAAAACTTTCCTGAATTTTTTTTTGTGCAAAAGGATCATCTTTCTGTTTACCGAAATTTAAAACTATATCAGGAGAAAAAATTAGGGCATCATAATTGATACTAAAAAGAGGGAGAACATCAAATTTTGTGATGCTGTGAGTCAAATTAGACAGTTTCTCATAGCTATCTATTATTCTAGGGGAATTCTTGTGAGTCTAATATGCTGAACCAGTTATGAGACTAGATAATTCACGAAGTCGAGAACAAAGGGGGCAATTGAACAATTTTGAAAATGATTCTGTCAGAAATATATTGACGTCTTAAATCTAAAGGAGGATCTACACATTCCAGTTGGAGAGCATTACCAGGAGAAGACTTCATAGCGCCTGATATGATACGTAGATATCTTAGCTGTTGTTTGTCTAATTTTATAAGAGATTCTTTGTTGCACGGCTCAAGCAAAAAAGAACCGTAGTCAAACAAGCTGCCTATTAGGGCATTATATATAAGTTTCTGTGAATAGGGATTTTGTTTGTTTGTTTGAAATGAAACTGAATGAAAGCAACATCTGTCAATATTGTTAAACGAAATTGTAGGTCTTGAACGCCTCGTTCTGAAATGTCCTAATAATATATAGGCAACAAATATAGGAAAAACTGTGAAAGATGTACTACCCCGCCAATTACAAGATTGATTGCAGATCCAAGAAATATATAGATATTTATTTATACAGATATATAAAGGAAACGCTTGTAAATATATAAATTATCTCAATATAAAGACAAGCTGAAGGCCATGGAAGCCGGGGCCGGTAAAATGTAAAAAAAAAAGTTTAATTAACAAAGTCAGAAGCTTTGATTGTTGTGATGATTTCATTTCGTTAAATAAGTTTCGAGTAAAAGCCACAAGCGTGACATTGACGGAATAGTGTAAATGCAAATAGGCTATGAAGTAAAAAATAAGAAGTTTTGAGTTGTCGAACCGGTGTTTTCATTTCCATCACGTTCAGTTTAATCTAAGTTTATTGATCATTAATTTCTTAATATACAGCAATGGCTCTACCTTTACCCATATCACCTTGCACTAAACGTGATGGCATCAGTTGTTTAAGTTGTGAACATTTTGAATACGCTAGTACCATGGCTACTACTTTATTAGCTCCTGTAAAAACAGAACGACAAATTCTTGAGCACTCTATGTCAGAAGACGATCCAAATGCGAACATTCAGCTACCAAGTGTAATTGGTTCTCAGCCCCGTTGGGGACCAAGGCACCGGGGTGCTCAAGAACTTGCAGAATTATATAGTCCTGGTGAGTGTCTGTATTTCCTGCTTTTAAAAGTGCTTATTTATGCTAAGTTTTCATGAGATGAATTTGTTTGAATTATCTAGATAAAGTAGAATATAAAGGAGATGTTTATTGCTTATTTATTTACATGTTTCATGTCTTTCTATTTTTTAAGCAACAAGTAATAAAATAACTGGATACTTGAGCTGCATATGTGTTAGCACAAGCATAATATATGATTAAAACAACTCCTTTCTAGTTTTATATAAACAATTTTAAAGATAGTAGGCATGATGACATTAATTTATAACTAGTAAAATTTTTGCATTTAAAGTTTTAAGAGTATATTGATCATAATTTACCTATTCCTTTTATTTTACTTCAAATATCTTGCTAGTTGGTTGCATTCTGATCCCTAAGAACTTTTACCAAATTTGTGTAATCATAGAAAGTGACAAGGGTTGTGTGTGGTGGTTATCTATTATTACATTATATTATTATTGTTAATGCATGTTGTAGAGTTCAAATGAATATAACTGGAAAAAAAAATACTTATTGTTGCATTACTATTTAAAAAGTATTGACTAGATACATATAGTAGGTTATATGCACTCAAGATGTCATAATGTAGCAAACCAAAAGTATTGCATGGTAGTAAACTTAGAGCATTAAACCAAACAGGAGAGGCCACACCTACTATTTTCAAGTCAAACTATAATCTGTCATTTCAAACAAGGGAAGAGGTAATGCACACTTGCGAAATGTTTATACAAATGGATTTTATCAATGGGTTTCATTTTACCCACACAATATAATAGGTACATACTTTCATAAACTATATGTAAACAATAAAATTTGCCAAAGGGACTTCAAGACTTTAGGTGAAATAAGCGAAATAAGTGCAAGGGTATTATGAATGAATTTTGTTAATTCATAATCATTTGTTATAAACTGTTCAGTATCTCATCGTATTGTTACTTACTATTGTTGAGGAATGGCATATAATATTTTTTATATTAATTTCCCATCATCTGAGATTAGTTCCCCTTGTTCACTTTCTTCAGATTGGAGATCAGGAACTGATTGTTGTGTGATTGTCCTAGGTTTTTATGAACCATTGTCAGCCAAGAAGTAGGAGGTCAAACATAAAAATATATACTCATTTGACCTTTTTTCAAGGTAGATAAAATGTATATATATGGGAGATATCATTTGGCAGAAATCCCACAGCATACTGTGCTATGTAATATGTAGAGTCACTTTTGCCACAATTACCTAATTACAGACCCTAGGAATGCTGATTCCTCAGTAATAAATAAATCTGCTGTTTGGCCATTTATTGTGACTTTTTTAAGACCTTTGTCTTTTAACAATGTTTATGTTGGGATTTGATTGAATTTGTAAGTCTATAATGTCGGCACTACATCTTCGGATATGAGAATTTGCATATAAGATAATAATAATAATAAATGTTTATTTTGACATATTCAAGATATTCCAGGGTACAGATTTTCTTTCCAAGATTGTAGATCCAATTGGTGGGGTTTTTTGCTTTTGAAATTCATCTTAAACCTCAGATCAGGGCTCACCAGCAACTAGGACCTTCCCCAGAACGGGCGATGTTAAAGTGCGGCTGGCCTATCTGATAAAACTTGCTGAGGAGAACCCCACTCGGGGCGAGGGATCCAGGAACCTGGAAGTGGGGCGCTAAACGGCCTTGCTAGGAGCCTACCCACTGAACGTCGCTGATTGCATTTTCCTCGAAGTTTTTTCTAATTTGAGACTCAATATTTCTACGTCTGACATAGCCAAATAGTCGAGCCTTTGCGAGACAGTGTGCGACAATGTTGTCATGATGAAGGATCTTACTGAGAAGTCGTTTCTTCCGATTTTTTCAAAATGGCAAACTATTGGTAGTGTTCCAATCTGCAGTAATTCTAAAACGATTCTCGCAAAGTTACCTATCCATAACAGGTGAACAAGGCCATCATCTTTTTCCATATTTCGAACTCTCATGTTATTAGTTGGCAAGTCTTCGAAATGAGACAAGCACTGAGCAAATCCTATCCGAAGAAATGAGGGTCAAAGGGATTGACAACACAACGACTCGATGGATCGAATCAATGCTATAAACAGGACCGTTAACGTATACATAAAAAGATTAGCAAAAGGCTTCAAAACTTTTAAAGGTTGTCCACTAGGCGGTGCCCTATCACCTATCACCTTTTGTGATTGCTAGTAGTTGACCAACCACACAGGCATCCGAGAAAAATTTAGATACATTCAGAGGATGACTTGTTGGTTTGCGTCATTGGCCTATGTCATCGGTAAATGGTGCACAGAGAACAAACTATTGGTAATCCGAACAAAACAACCTTTACTAGGAAGCGTCGCCAGGTCACAGTGATATAATCCAAAAGGCTAAAACAGCCTTAGTAATACGGTGACGTGTGGCTGGGGCAAAATCGGGCTAAAAACCCAAATTATCCATATGGATGTACACCGCCATTGTTAGGCCGATACTGACATATGCAACATAAACGAAAAGCTACACAAACGAACGATAGTTAACAAGCAAAATAGCGTAAAAAAAAAACAGCATGCTTTATGGAAACTGGGTATGTCAACTTCGCCAACGAATAGTAAATACTACGAATAGTAAACAATGGTTACTATGGTAAGGTTTTAATCCCCTATACAAACTTCCACTCCCATTTTCAAACGATCAAATTTGCAAATTCCTCCTTATAATATGGATTTAAGAGGCGAATGCTACCATTTAAAGAGTAAGCATTTTTGGCCAAAAACACTGGCTCTCTCAGTCATTGAGATTTCTACATCAAACACGCTACTAGCAATGATTACGGATGCAATGGTACAAATTCGTATCTTTACAAAAAAATACTCAGTAGAAATACCATTTACCAATACCACTCAAGCAAGGAGAAGTGGTCAGAACAACACTCGTGCCTACTATGAAAATGTGTAAAAAATTCTATCGATATTTTCCGATTTTCTTAATTTAGCCGTGATTATTTATTCAATTTATTATTCAAATATTCTTTGGATTCAAACCGAGGTTACCGAATACTGATCAATTCACACATATAGTTTAATAGTTTCAGAATCCGATATTGAATATCTATCTGATATTGCCCACCGCTATCACAACCTGAGGGCCTATTCTGTTTGTTCACAAGGAATTTTCGGAAAATTTCGGAACCTTTTTTATAATTTTGTAAAAATCGTGTCTGTCAAGATTATTCTGTGCTTCCGAGAAATGCGTTTCTTTGCGTTTCGAAAACAAACGAAATTCCGTTTCGGAAAAACAGAGTAGGCCTTCTGTTTGTTGCCCCTTCCAATATTAATTTATAGTAGAGAGTCAAAATTCGATAAAAGGGGCTTATGGTATATGCACAGTGCAAAAGCAAACTTCCGGTTTTTTTATAGCGCAGATAGTATAATAGCCGTTGCTTAATAAGATGTCTGAAATGAAATGTATACGTTACAATTATATTATCTTATAAATACTGAATATAAATTTATTCTCTTAAGGGAGTTGATTTAATTTCGATTCGTTTATAATAATTGAGACTATAACCACTGCTGGAACATCCCCTCTGAAACATTGGAAAGATTTTATGTATGAAATACAATATTATGCTACTCGTAATCATTTTATAACGAAATGCCGTATACTTTAAAAAAATATCATCATGTCTATTACATATTGAACCTCTCCTTTTTAAAACTTTAACTTTCCATATTTATCAATGTGAAATTTCAAGAAATTGACATGTTAGCTTAGATCGATCCTTTATTGTACGGTTTTTTGTTGATATTCACGTAGGGAAAACACGTGACTTAAGTATCGGAATCCGATTCCTGACCCTTTGGATTATACTATACAACATTATAGTATGGTACTTGTATAAATGTTACTTAGTTATTTGTGTAAGTATCTGAGTTCTATATACTAACTCAGATACTTAGTTATATATACGTTAAAAATTGATCATCATGCCTACTTATGATGATGATGTAATATCACTCCCGTTGTGTTAAAAAATATTGTCTTAATATAAAGTTGTGCAGACAACTGCTATGCAATTCTTTTGCACAAACTAGACTTAATTGAACATTTAATCCTGTCAAGCAGCGTTTTCCATTTTTTACATAACAAAGATAACAGAAGTAAACTTATCATGTTATTGTACTCATGTACAGATTATATTTCTTTGATTGATTACATGTGACTACAGACTAACGGCGAAACAAACCTACATATTTCATTGGTAATTTAAAGAGTGGTACAAAAGTAATGAAGTCATTCATCAATAACTTCATATCGAGCTTTTTTTAAATTAAGTGATTCAATAAGATACTTTAATCTTAAATTTGTCTTTTCACGTAATACTCTATGTAAAATAGCTTTAAAAGAAAATTATTTTGTCGCGGAATATAGGCCAACATTATGTTCGTCATATCTTGAATAGTTTTGAGGCTAAATATATAATATAAAACAAGGTTTTTCAAATACTTCCAAAAAGTTTCTACTAGTTTCCCCGATATGGTATTCTTTTTTGGTTGGTCAAAAGTATTTTGTTTATATTTAGATCTTTAGTCTCAAAATTAGTTAAGTGATTATGAAAATAACGTTGGACCCGTAATGTTAATTTTATTAAAGTAATTTTAAAACAATTTGTAGATTTTATAAGAGCTATTTATATAAACGTAAAGGGCTGTAACTATAATAATTATCAAAAAATATAAGTATAGTTTGAGCATAATAGTTTTCGGACTTTAATAATGAAAAAATCATCACTTTTATTATACGAAAATCTGTTTATTTATTTTGACACGACGGGATGATATGCATCAGATTATCATCATCATCAGCGTTTTTACGTCCCCACTTCAGGGGCTCAGGCCTTCCTCATGAATAGTTAAGGAGAATGGCCCACGACCCTCCACAATGGCTTAATGCGGATTGGAGGGTATTAACGACTGCAAATGCAGCCAGG